AATTTGCATGGTTTTTCTTATATGAGAAGCCTAAAATATAAACAAAAAGGAAAATAAAAGATGTCTACTAGGAAGTAGGGAGATGGATCTTTTGCAAATAGGAAGGAGACCAAGACATGGGGGTGAGGGCATGAGTAAAGGGCAATGGGATGAAAAAATAATGACGATGTTTTATGCACATATACTAATTCCCCATGAAAATGTGATAACTATGTACTACAAACATGTACTAGTGAAACATAAAAATTAGAAAAGCTTTATCCTCTTTTAAAAACTTGAAAGCACAAATAATGTAGAAGCTGTTACATAAAACTTTTTCAAAATGTTTTTTCTTTTCTTCCTCCTCTTCAAATCAGGAATTACTTTTCTTGAGCCTTTTCAGGCCACTTGTGAGATTCTTACTGGATTATGATCTTCTGTGGATTTGTCTTAGGCATCACTTTGAAAGCAGCCCACATAGGGGCCAGCTCTGGTCCCACTCATCTCACCTAACACCTCTCACAGCCTCGTACAAGTCAGTGCTCTGCAACTGGTGATGGCTAAATGCAAAGCTGAGTTTTTCAAGTATTTCAGAACCAAGGTCAAGCAAAACACATACATGTTGGATAGCATTTTATATTCTTTTTCTTCTAACTAGCCACTTAGATGAATGTTAAATTACCACTAAGTAGAAAAAAGGGGCGATGTGGCTGGTGACATAATTATACATCATGCAAATAAATTCTGAGTAGAAATACAATTGTTACCTTCACAAATGTTTAAGTTGATTTTAATTTTTCCTTATTATTATTTTTAATTAGTGTACGTTTGCAATACATGTTTACATTTCTTGTATGGAGTTGGTACGTGTACCTAATACATCTTAATTTCTCTTTTCACCCCCTTTTCCTCCTCTCCCTCACACCTCGTTCCATCTCTTAAAATAGTGTTTACTTCAAAAAAATTTACAACAGTCTTTATACATTGCATTTAACATGTATGCATTAAACAAAATACCCAGAGTTCAGAGCTTAATATTCACTTCATAGAAAAATTAGTACTTAATATCTACTTCATATTTTTCATTGGAAAAAATATGAACACTATAGATTAGATAGAATTATGTGAGTGTTACATCCTTTTAGGAGTATTTAGGAGTGTTACATCCATTTATAATCTTCCCTACAGTCCCACATTTCCATTTGGGGCTCATGATATTGCAAAATACCACAACACTCCAGTTTTGGTTTTCCTGATCAGCATTTATCTTTCTCGGGTTCCTTTGACCAGGCAATGTGCTATAGTGGGACGATGATGGACTTGGTTGGAATTGTCACTTAGCACTTGGGTAAGTCCCTTAAACTTTAAGAGTTTCATATTGTTCACCTATTAAATGGATTAATAATTCTGAGCACATAGTATGGCCAATAAGGAATAGGAAAGCACTTAGAACATCATATGAAGTCAGTAAATTTCCTTCTTTAGTTATAATTAACATACTGTTTAGTGGTAACAAAGCAGTTATTTTGAAATTCAGGGTCTTCTAAATAGTACCCAGTTATCTGATCTCGGGCATGTGTCTTTCTCCTCTGACCTGATGTTAATACCTACCTTATAAAGTTTTAAGAATTAAAAGTAATAATGTAGAGATAATTCAGTAAAATTTGATTACTATAAAACAATTTAGTCAGTAGTTATAACTAATAATCATTGAAGTGATAAAAGAAAGAGAGAAGTTACAATTATGTAATAAACCAAATTTACATAGGTTTTAAAAATTATATAATTATATAAACAGATTGTGAAAATATTTGAAATAACCAAAAATGCAAATGATATAAATATTTGTTCTGTCATCTATTTCATCATAGCCTATAGATAAATATTGCTTTTTAAAAGTTACTTTTTAAGGATCAAAATGTATAATTGATATTGTGAAATAGGAAGAAAAGGTCTAAAGGAATAGGGGAAATGGGGGGGTAGGAGAAAGGAAAGAAGGGAAAAGAAAAATATAAGAAAAGGAAAAAAATGGAAACAAATTATTTGTAAATAGGGAAGGGTGGAGGGGTTGAAGAGAGAGCCGGGGAATGGGGAGAAAATAAGAACCAAGATACATCATGTAAAGGTACAAGATCCCAATGATGAATGTAACTATATTGTATACCTAGAATGTACCAATAAATAAACTTAATAAAAAAAAGTTACTTCCTTTCCTTCATGGTATCTTATTACTTAAAAGAATTCAAAAGAGTACACAATCATTATTTCACTTCATAGAACAAGCTGTTCAACACACGTAAGTTATATGTATTATGGGTAAAAAGTTGCTCTTGCTCTTTCTTAATTAAAATGTTTAAAATTTAATGAAATTATAATATTTGTATGTCAAAGATTTTTTGCTATTGTAAAAGTAGCAAAATGTGTTGATATTATTCTGGTATTCCCTTCATTGGAAAGAGGTTTATAAACATCAAAAATGATTCTGGAAATTAGCTATCACAACTGCTGTATCTTAGGAAAGTTTATATTTGTATAGTTCTTTTAAATTTCCAGAGTGGTTTCTTTTACCTCAGCTCATTAAATTATGATATGCACAAAAGCATTATTTCACTCATTTTGTAGATAAGGAAACCACAGTCCAACTTTTTCTTCAGCGTAAAATCAAAGTCAAGACAGGAAATCAGTCTCCTTCCACAGCACAACATAAAAGGGAAAGAAAACTTATGTGAGCAAAAAAAGGTTTATTTGACAAAGACTGCCAATGATGCAGGGATCTTGCTGGGAAAAGCTTCCAAAAGCATGGATCTCTTTTCTCTGCCTTTATCTCAAGTAAACCATCACCAGCAAAATGAATTTTTGGAGAATAGGCCTTCTATTTATGATCTGTTATTCCCAGGAGAAGGTATTTTTCTTTGTTTAAATGATAATAAAGATTCTCTATTTTTTCCATATATTAGCATGCTTTCATTTAGAAATAAGGGACCCACATACAGGGTCTATTAACTTGATGGTAAAAATGTATCTCTTTGTGTTCACTGACTTCCAAAATTTAGCACTGCTCTCAGTAAATTTAGGAAAGAGACACTGGTAATACTATGCCTTCATCATCAATAGATATACATACTTTCTGCATCACATTACAGATGTTTCAGATATCACTTATGTTCATCATTACTTTGAAATTAGACACACTAGTAGATTATTATTATTATTATTATTATTTGCTGGGGGGCCACTGACAGGAAAAATTAGAAGCTACAGAGAAGTGGAAAAGGCAGTTCACAATACAGAGAAAAGAAGGAAACAATTTGGAATCTTTCCCTGGCTCTTGTGGTTCACGGGGAGGGGAACCTGGCAGCCCAGAAGCAAGGTAAGCACTCAGGGCTGATTTTTATTATTTGATGTGGTAATGATGAAACACAAATATTAACCTGTAACAATTTAAAAATTATTTTATTTATGTATGTAAATATTATGGGTTTATTTTCTTGGTGTATTTATATAATGCATTTACAATTATTTGTAAAAAAGGTACATAGTTTTCCACAGCGTCTAAGGGTCCATAGCTTCAGGACCTTTTCAAATGGAGAGCAAAAAGCACCTCTATCTATAAGGTGTCTTGTCTAAAGTCTGAGCCACCAATAGAAGCTACAAATTCATCAGGAGCTAATGGTGATTTAAATCTCAGATACAGTAGTTCCACAATGCTCAAAGGTGGCCAGCTATAAGGCTTAATCACAGCACATTCAGACTTAAGATGGTACAATGGTATGATCATCAGTGATTCTGATTTTCATTCGTAGTACAGTTTTCAATACATTACTTGAGATATTCAACACTTTTCATGAAGTAGGCTTTGTGTTATTTTGTTCAGCTGTAGGCTAATGTAAGTATTCTGGGCATATTTAAAGTTGGCAAACATAAGCTATGGTATTCAATAGGTTAAGTGCATTTTGAATCATGATGTTGTAAAGTCATGATGATTTTATTAACTGGATTATAACACATAGGAGGGTATCTAATGTGATCTGGGATAGGACTGTGGAAGATAGAATTTACAAAATGTGAACCTCCAAGATTTTATCCCTTTTCATCCAGTAATGTCTATTTTAATTTTACAAGCAATGATAAACCAAACGAACTACACAATTGCATAGTTGTATTTTACGGTGGAAGGTATAATAGGCTCATTTTTAATGTCATATCTAGTTGATAATGACTGAATATGGCCCTTCCTTACTCCACACTCCAGTCTTAAGACAATACTTAAAATAACAATGCTTAGTTTAATTTTCTGATAAGGGCATTTAAGACAACATTTGTGTATTTTTCTATATCCACAATATATTTTAATTTAAAACTCTGGTTGTAAAATGGTACAAGACAGGAAAGATATGAAAAACAGTGAGTCTTGGACCAAGGATAAAAGAAAATAAAGTTATAGTAATTAATAGACTTTTCAGAGTTATGTCCCTAATTTTCTTTTTCCTGTTACTGGAGGAGGTTAAATAACTTAAACAGGCCTTAATTTCTTACTTAAATTGAAATAAACAGTAACTAAAAAATGCTACTGCTCAAAATCTTTTTTCTTTTACTAACTTGTTAGGAATAATTGCAATCAAAATATATATTTAAGTTAAAAGATTATATTTACTATTAATGTTACTTTGAGGACTCTATAAAACTTAAGCATTATAGAATTGGATCAGAACTGGGTAACTTAAATGATGAAGTCCAGTAAACACCCTGTTCTATAAATGTACTTCATGGCTCCACCCTTTCACGGGGTATGATGCTCCATAGTAGCACCTTTTTCAGTAGCTAATGATAATTATGATTAAGTATATCATTCATATTCAGTGCTATACCTCCTTTAATATACATTTGATAATCACTTCCAAATTTTTCCTTGAATGTTTAATCATTAATTAGAAGAATTTAAGTCAAATTAGCTCCACAAATAAAACTATTTTTCTACATTGCAGATCACTGGAAATGTCTGTACTTGAAGATGAACTTACCTCAAGTTGAACCCTTTGTTCTAAATTTTTGTAAGATCTCTGTAATAATTCCCGGGTGCCAAGGACTCCATACCACATCAAGTTTTTAGTTCGGCTCCTAAAGAGAAATATTGGTACAGAATCTCAGGAAATTTTATTTATTTTCTCTTAAAGGCAGACCAAGCAAAAGAGATAATAAATGAAATTAAGTAATATTGCCTTCATTTAATAATATTATTGCTACTTTGAAAATTACCTGCATTTTTCTGGGTGCTCTTCTCTCTTATTATTAAATTCTAATGAAATTTTTGCATCTAATCCAATCCCAAAGTAATTGTTCATAACACATTTTTCTGAATATCCATCTCTATGATACAAAAAGTACATTAATTCAATTTCAGGATCATTACAAGATTTGAAATTTGTGTACAAAATGGCACGTAAAATGTTCCTATTAGGCTCCTATTCTTTATAGATTGTTAAGTTTATCAGGAATCACTTTCTATATATATGTCATGTGTACACCCACAGTACATAAGCACAAGTGATATAAAGGTATAGTGGACGAGGCAAAGCAGACACAGAGCTATGGTTTGGTTTTCTCTTCAATTTAGCATTCTATCTCCATTGTAAGCCTCTTACTCTACAGACAAATGAGGATGACTATGGAGGGCCTTGTACTCAAAATACCAACACACCTCTCTTAATTATTAGAAAGTCTCCAGTGCCAAGGAGCAGAGGTGCCCTCGGCCAGGAGAAGGTGAACCTTCCGGGCCACCATACCACCACCCCCAGCGTCGTGGAACAGAAGCTGCCCCCAGCAGTGAGAAGCTTAGGCGCATGGGCGCCAGCAGCACCTGCCCCACCAAGATCACCTAAAGCAACTCCAAAGGGAAACGAGATGGAACAATCTGATATTCAACCACCTGGACTCCCTGAACTGGCAACAAAAGAGGATCTGGAAAAAATGAAATCAGAAATAATCTCTCAGATAACAGCAGAGAT